GACGGGCCCGATCGGGCGCGTCCTGGGCGGTTTGCGGTTTGCTTCGATGCTTTCTCTTGACCCTCCGGGAAAGTGCTGTCATACCGAAAGCGGGCTTGGTGTTGGCAGCGCTGCCGGCCCTGGGCAGAGTTCTAGGGCTGCTGCGCCCCGGAGCCCAGCATCTGCCTCGGCCTGGGCGTGTAAATAATGAAACCCGAGTGCTCTCCTCGAGGGCGGGTGCAAGAAGAGCTTTAAGGGGCAGACATCGGGCCGTTTGTGTCGTTTTCCTCCTCTGTTTCGCCTTCCAGTTCTGTAATGCTTGTTTTCTTGCTTTCCAGTTGATCGTTGTCTGTTTTAACAAGCTCCGCTGTAATGAAGTCGTTGCCCTTTGGGAATTAGTTTTCTAAACAGAAAATCTTATTTCCTGTGTGTGTTTAATGACTGGAACAAATAGCGCACCGTGAGGTTATCCCATTGCCTTTCATCGGAGAACTACTGATCCGTCTGCCTTATTTCTCCCAAGTACTCGGCTTGCATGCTTTCCGTGTTAGTTTAATGCCATTGAGAGAGTTTACAGCGAAATCTGGGTAAGAGTTAACCAGAAAAACTTAAAATCGCTTTGTTAACTATATTTTTCTTCATAATCTGAAGAAGTTATGTCAAAATACTAAGATTTGTGCTGACCGAATGCCTATTACTTTTCATGCTTTTAATTTTTCAGGTTGACGTGTGGCAAAAAGTATTTCCCAAAATAGTTAAGTATTTTTTATCTTGACCAGATCTTTCTAAGGGAAATTGCATTTTAAAGTACTGATGCATTGAAACAAGAATATTTAGGCTTGGCAGAATTTGAGTTAATACAGTACATTTATTTTATTGTACTATAAACCTTGCCGTGTACTGACAGGTTTCTCTTGCAAAGTATACCTGTGTTAAGGTATATGGCTGTGAATTTATCCTTTGGGGTAAGCAGTGGATAGCTTTTTTTTTTTTTTTTTGAGTTGGAGTCTCACTCTGTCGCCCAGACTGGAGCGCAGTGGCTGTTCCCAGCCACCGCAGCCTTGACTTGCTGGCTCTGGTGATCCTTCCGCCTCAGCCTTCCAAGTAGCTGGAACTACAGGCACGCGCTACCACACCAGGCTAATTTTTGATTTATTGTAGAGATGAAGTCTTGCCAAGTTGCCCAGGTGGGTCTCGAACCCGCGGGCTCAGGCAATCCACTCACCTCAGCCTCCCAAAGCGGGATTACAGGCTGAGCCACCGAGCCCGGCTAGTGGATAGCTTTTAAAACACTAAGGTGTGAAATATATGCACAGGTATATACATGGATGGATCTACTTATATATGTGTGTATGTTCTGCTTCCTATCTTGCTTTATCTTGTTAATTAGTATTTTTCTTATGGGGAGGAGTAGTAGGTTTGTATCTATTTTTCCTCAGTTTTAACAATGTAGCAAAATAGGAAAGCTAGATGGTGTGTAAATTTGAGTTTTGTCATAGACCAGGAGAAACACTGAAACAGGATAAGTATACAATTGTGAGGAAACTGCCATGAGTTCATAAACCGGAAGGATCTTTTTAGAAGTGTTTAAGGATGTTAAGAATAGCATTTTGTTCTTTTTTTTTTTTTTTTTGAGTTGGAGTCTCACTCGGTCACCCAGACTGGAGTGCAG